AGAGCGCGGGACCCGGAAGAGGGGCTCCGAGGGTGTGCGGGCCGGGAGTGCGTGAGGGGAGGCTGTGCGGGCTCCGAGGGTGTGCGGACCAGGAGTGCGTGAGGGGAGGCTGTGCGGACACCGAGGGTGTGCGGGCCAGGAGTGCGTGAAGGGAGGCTGTGCGGGCTCCTAGGGTGTGTGGGCCGGGAGTGTGTGAGGGGAGGTGGACAGGAGTGGCAGGCTATTCCGAGAGGGTGTGCAGACTGCGTGATGTGTGAGGAGGGTGTGGGGGTCCACGGTTGGGAGGGCAGGTGTGTGCAAAAAGGGATGCTATCAGGCGATGCAAAAGGCAAGGGCTTTTGACATTGGGGCCTGTGATTGGGAAAGAGTTCCAGGATTTTGTTCAAAAAGGAAAGGCACTTGTTCTAGATGAGCTGAAGGGAGTAAGGAAGACTGAGGATTCTGAGAAGGGGTGGGAGGTGATGCTGCTGGAAGAGGCTGGGGTCTGCAGCTGATTTGTTAGATTGAATGTTGCCAGGTGCGTGCTGGGGTCCTTGGGCCTGGGGCCTGTTTTGATGTGTGAGTGGGGTGCAGAGTAGCTGCTGGGGCCAGGCATTGTCTGGAGGGATCCTGTAGATAAGCAGGACAGTGGAGCGTCCCTTCCCCTCCCCCAACAAAAAGTAGAAATGAGTTTGAAATCCAAGGAAGGCACTCCCCACGAGACAGAGGTGCCTTAGGCTGGGTCCACGCTGTGGTTTGGCTTTCTTGAGTGGCTTTACTCTTTCATGTTGGTGCTTTGCCCCCAGAACTTTCTCTTTAGTGTGCATTTTAGATTCTACCTCTTCCCTTCATTTTGAAATTCAGACTCTCATGAAATCAGAGCTGTACAGTCAGGGCAGTGAAACATAGCTCAGCATTGAGGACAGTAGAGAAAAATACATCAATCCTCTGTGGATTTTTTCTTAGCCCATCTCTAAGATAATTTATAAAGAGTTATTGTGCATCTCAGCCCCTCCTTTTTGCTTGCACTTGGGTTTTCTGCTTCTTTGGAAAGAATCTCAGACGTACATGGACCAGCCCTGTTTTGGAGAACACAGTCTAAACCTGACCTCTCAACATAGCAGTATCTGGGTTTCAATTTTAAGAACGTCTACTGAGGGACAAGGATGGGAAACCATACAAAATACATTGTTTCTGTTTGATTTTCAGTAAGTGTTGGTGTTTCTTGGATTCCTAGTTTCAGAGAAACTAGACTTTTACGTTACATTAGTCACTGAGGATGTAGGTGGTGCAGGAATGGATTACGTGTAAAACAGTAGTCCCAACCCTTCAAGAGCTTAATTAACGGACGGAAGGAAAGATATGAGAGTCACACTCTATTATTTACAAACTCCACATAAATCAAAAGTTCAAAAGTGATATTTGAGTAAAATATATACATACACACCTATAACATTGAGCTGGCTGCCATGGTACCCAGTGGGTAGGCCTAGGCAGTGACTAAAGGAGATTTTTAAATGAGGTATCAGAGTTGTGGATTCCTTTTATGGAATCCTTTTACTGACCGCGGTTACAGGCTGTTGGCCAGATTCAGTGCTTGTGGGCATTTGACTTTAACCTGAATTGTTATAACTGCTTTATGTGCAGTATTTACAAGTGTGTACACTAAATACTTGGTGTACTTCTCTGTGGGAATCCAGAGATTTTGGTAATTGGAGCATGTTTCAATAACGACAGTAATTTGGAGAGATGTTCCTGTGCTTCCAGGGACACCAAAGGTCTTCTGTCAGTTGACAGCCAAAAATAGATGTTAACTATAAGAAGTGTTACTTCTGGGCTGTGAAAAAATAGTTTAAAGTGATTAGGGGAACTTGTTCACACATGAATTAAAAGTCTATTAAGACAGTGCCGAACTCTAAATGAAGGGCTAGATCTTAAATTTGCTGCTATTTCTATAGCACAATAGTTCAGCACCTGTGAAGAGCTAACATTTGGCGTCTATGACAAATGTTATTTTGCTTTATGCCAATGAATTAAATATTTATTTGGGCCCATTAGTTGTAAGACTTTGTGTTAAGTGCTGTGGGTCCTGCAGAAAATGTTTAAATCAGGCTGCTGCAAATAATTTACATAGAAGACACAAGTACTTTAAGAGGAAGGGGCAGTTACTTGTAATTAGCCTCCTGTTCAAACACAGTGAGTTGGTTTTTTCTCAAGACTAGAGCACTACAGAGTATCCCCAAGCATGAGGCTCAGGGGGCCAAGTGCAGGTCCTCTTTCCTAAGATGATGTCCGTGACAAGGGGACATGAGACATCCACGAGCTGGTGTGGAGCTGAGACACCAAAGGTTGTTGGCGGGACTCAAAGAAAGCGACTTCGCAGTTGAAGTAGTCTGTGAGCTGCAGGGTGTCACTGCCCATGGGCCTTGACCTTAAGAAACAGGCTGTTCCTGCTGATGCCGAGATTACAGCCTACCTAGTAGTTTTTATAAAAAGTCATTAGCTGCAGAACTGTCATTTGGGGCACATAATTGTGACCCATCCTCCATCTCTGGATGCTTCTTACTTTTAGCCTTTGGCAACTGCTGGCAGGTAAAGCGTGTGCGATGTGAGAAAGCAGGTATGTAGGCCAGGGCCCGGAGTGCAGAGTGGTAACCAGGGAGACTGATTCTTTGTGTTTGTACCAGGTTTTAGGGTTTTATTTTGCTTCCTCTGGCCAGTTGAGTGCTCTAGGTATTTGGACCTGTCATGCATCTCTTCAGTTAACTTATAGCCAGACCACTGACATCAGATGGGCCGTGTTGCAAAGACCCCCTTGGCCAGGTTGGGAGGTGGAGCCTGAGCTTGTGGGCTCAGTGACAGGGAGGATGGAAGACTGTGGCAGAGTCCTGATCCGGGACAGTCTTCCCTCAGACAGGATAGGTTTTTCACAGCAGAAGCAAAACCCGGAGTTCCCTGACCTCTACGAGGGTGGGTAATTGGTTTTCAGATTACAGAGCTGAATCATATGAGCTGTATGCTTCCTTAGCTTATTGTATGTGGATTTCAGTTTTTCTCTACCTTCTCTGTTCCTCAGAGCACTCAACTGTTTGCTGTTTGCTATCAGAAGGACAGTTTCCTAAAAGCAAGGTTTTAAAAGTCATGTGCAGCTTTCTGATGGAAGCTTTTTTAAGGTTGTCCATCTGGGTGATAAGGCCTCAGTGCATGTGCATGTGAGTGATGTCCTTCAATCAACTCCGTTGAAAACGCTGAAAGTGACCACGATGAACTGCTCTTTTGGGCACGTGTTGAGAGTTAGAGGAACAACTTGCTGTGTGTTTGCACATGTTGGGAGGTACACTGAGTGTGAAGGGAGGGGGCAGGCAGAAGGCACAGTGGCTGTGGGCCTAGGAAGTGTGACGAGTAGACACGACCACCTGCCTCCTGGGGTCTGATGTACCTTCCTTTCTATCTGATCCTCAGATACATATCCTCATCTTAAGTCTGAGGGACTGGCTCTCACTCAAGTTCATACAACTAGGAGGACTAGAAGCACCTTTCTTTCCTCCAGTCCTCCTGCCATCCTGGAGCTTGCCAAGAAGGACTGGGCACTCAGCTCTGTAGCTAAGATGGGTAGTCCCCTGGCTGCTAGTCTCTCTTTGTTCTCACAGAATGACACTTGAGGGTAGTGGTGCTCTCTGTGTTCTGGGCATTCATTTCTTAGTGCCAGAGGCATTCCTATAGTTATAAAAGTTTCCAGAAATTGTTTTGGTATAATACAAACCTTGTGACAAAAGATTGGAAATTCAAACTGCATTTCTGGCTTTGAGTTCAAGCGGGAGGGCATCATTGCGAGTCTTGTCTTGAGAAAACCTCTGTGGTCGTGTTTCCGTGGACCCACCTTTCCTAATCCTTGTCCTCTTAATGGTTTCAACAGGACAGATTGATTCACTTTGGAGCTGTAAGTACTGATGTATTAGGGTGCAGCGCTCATTGTTCATTGACGCACAGAGTCCCAAAATGAATATCCAAGAGCAGGGTTTCCCCTTGGACCTCGGAGCAAGTTTCACCGAAGATGCCCCCCGACCCCCAGTGCCCGGTGAGGAGGGTGAACTGGTGTCCACAGACCCCAGGCCTGTCAGCCACAGCTTCTGCTCTGGGAAAGGTGCTGGGATTAAAGGTGAGACTTCAACAGCCACTCCCAGGCGCTCAGATCTGGACCTGGGGTACGAGCCCGAGGGCAGCGCGTCCCCCACCCCGCCATACTTGAAGTGGGCCGAGTCGCTGCACTCCTTGCTAGACGATCAAGACGGGATAAACCTGTTTAGGACTTTCCTGAAGCAGGAGGACTGCGCCGATCTGCTGGACTTCTGGTTTGCCTGCAGCGGCTTCAGGAAGCTGGAGCCCTGTGACTCAAATGAGGAAAAGAGGCTTAAGCTGGCCAAAGCCATCTACCGAAAGTACATCCTTGACAACAATGGCATTGTGTCCAGGCAAACCAAGCCAGCCACCAAGAGCTTCATAAAGGACTGCATCATGAAGCAGCAGATCGATCCTGCCATGTTCGACCAGGCCCAGACGGAAATCCAGTCCACCATGGAGGAGAATACCTACCCCTCATTCCTCAAGTCTGATATTTATTTGGAATACACAAGGACAGGCTCGGAGAGCCCAAAGCTCTGTAGTGACCAGAGCTCTGGGTCAGGGACCGGGAAGGGTGTCCCCGGATACCTGCCCACTTTGAATGAAGATGAGGAATGGAAGTGTGATCAGGACGTAGACAAAGACAGTGGCAGAGACCCTGCCCCTCCTGGCAGGCTCGCACAGAAGCTGCTCCTGGAGACAGCCGCCCCGAGGGCCTCTTCAAGTAGACGGTACAGCGAAGGCAGAGAATTCAGGTGAGTCAGACACGAGGCCTCCGTTTCTGTGCTCACTTCCAAGACCTGGAGAACTAGCCAGGGAAGGGTGTTGCTGAGGAGTGGTCTCGGCCTTCAGCCCCACAGTGGGTGAGTTGTGGTTTTAGTTTTTACTCACGATACCTTCACATTTTTCATTAGATATTTTTAGCATTTGTCTGTTGAGAATACTTTTATCAAGAACAGCCTAAGATATGACTCTGTAAGTCATTAGGAACATTCTTAGAAGTCATATGATGATTAAACTTTACCTTTTAGCAGTAAAATTTATGTCCTCCTGCACAGAAGATGGCTTTATCTGGTAGACTGAATCCTTTTGGTTTAATAAAGAGAGGAGGGGACACTGAAATGCCTTAGTACTTAGAGAATTCTGGATCATTGCTTTTTATAATCATCTTCTAAGATGCTTCCTAGAGGTTGGAAAGTGGTAATGAGGAGGCTGCTGTGCTCGGTAGGTTGTCTAAACACTTTGGGAACTTCCTGTGGCTGTGGTTGTAGCTCTAGGATTGGACCTTCGCCCCGGCCAAGGAAATGAGTTGTGCTGTTGTGTAGTCTGTTCCTAGCACCGGGGCCTCCTGAAGTTGTGACGACAGTCTTTGCACACGGGCAGTTTGGAGTGCAAATTTGAAGGCGTGGAGTGGTGTTATCAGTACTTTGCTACGACTTTGGGGACCTGTTTCTTTATTCTCTTTTCCCAGATTACTGGGGATTTATTTGGTCTTGAGTTGGAACCTGTTAGCAGGGGCCCTTTCATTTTCACTCGTTTCCCTATAGCTGGTCCCGGATACTCCTGCCTGTGAAACTTTGAAAGCCTGGAATTCGTGCGACCCTACTGATTTAATCAGTAGTTGGAAACACATCCCCAGGTGCTGGGGCTCTTCTGTGGAGTTGGTAAAACTCAGTCATTTCTTTAAGCTTACTGTGGCAGAGAAATTGGCTACTTGCTAACAAACAGGATTAAACATTTTTAAGGTTTAAACGAATGTGCTATAAAATTATCCCGTTACTCATCCTGTTAAGTTAGGCTAGTAACTGATGTAGCTTTAAAAACTTAACCTGAGGGGGGAAGGTATAGCTCATGTGGTAGAACACATGCTTGGCATGCGAGAAGTCCTGAGTTCAATCCCCAGTACCTCCATTAAATAATTAAATGAGTGAACTTAATTACCACCCCCTAAAAAAAATTTAACCTGAAAGTTTTTATATTTGATTAGAACAGTTTTCAAATGGGATAAAATTTGAGGCCTGAGCTGCAGGGGGAAAAAATTGAGCTCAATTCTGATTTCTAGTTTTAAAAATTCCTACATGCCACCCCTTTCTCCAGCCAGCCAGTCTGCACACTTTTTCAGTCCTTGCTCAGGGTCAGTTGTAGCAGCATCTTTGCTTTTTCTCTCTTTGGTTTGCTCTATTTGCAGTAAGTAACCTTTACTATTGAATTGATAGACTGTGTTGGATTTGCCTGTTTAATAACATTCAGCTGTAAGGAACGTGGCACATTTTGGTTTCAAGTTGCCTGTTGCAGAACAGCTGGTGGCTGCGGAGGCCTGGAGTTCAGGAGTCCTGTCTGCGATGGAACCCTGTTCCACTGGGGGTTGCCTGTGGTGGCTTTGTGGGTGGAAGACCTCTGGTGTCAGGGTCATTGTTTATTAGTACTAACAGGATATGGAGCCCAGCACATTCTACATGCCCTGGAGGGGTGGGCAGTTAGGATGCACTAAGTTGAAAGTCACCGAGAACCCATCCCACCCCAGTTTAAACAATGAAGGGGACTGGTTGGCTCAGATAAGTGAAAAGTCCAGAGGCAGGCCCAGCTTCAGGTGTGGTTTGGTCCAGACTTCAGCCATTTTCTTTTAAGACTTGATTTTTCAGAGCAGTTTCAGGTTACCAGTAAAACTGAGAGGAAGGTACAGAGGTTTCCCGTATACTCCTGCCCCCACAAATGCATGGCCTCCCCCGTTATCAACCTCCCGCACCAGACTGGTCATTTGTTACCGTCAGTGAACCTGCATCGTAATCACCCGAAGTCCCTAGTTTGCATCAGGGTCACTCAGTGTTATACGTTCTGTGGGTTTGACAAATATGTAATGACATACTTCTGTCAGTATGGTATCATACAGGGTAGTTTCACTGCTTTAGAAATGCTCTGTGCTCACCTGTTTATTCTTTTCCAGCCCCCAAACCCCAGCAACTGCTGATCTTTTCAGTCTCCATAGTTCTGCCTTTTCCAGAATGTCATATAGTTGAAACCGTACAGTCTGTAGCCTGTTCACATTGCTTCTTTCACTGAGTAATGTGCTTTTAGGTTTCCTCAGTGTCTTTTCATGGCTTGGTAGCTCATTTCTTTTTCGCACTGAATAATACTCCTCTGTACAGATGTACCACAGTTTACTTATCCATTCACCTACTGAAGGACATCCTGATGATTTTCAGTTTTTGGCAGTTATGAATAAAGCCACAGTAAACATCTGTGTTCAGGCTTTTGTGTGGAGATGAGTTTTTGTCTCCTTGGGTAGATAACAGGGAGCACAGTTGCTGGATTGTATGATGAGATTGTGTTTACTTTTGTAAGAAACTGCCCCTTTTCTGAATGCTTTGCCTCTGCCTTCCTGTGGCCAGCGTTGCTCTCAGGTTGGCTCCCTTGTGTTGGAGGGTGGCTACCACAGTGACCTTAGGCTCTGGGCTCCCTTGGTTTGTAAACAAAGGCTTCCCATTGAAGGAAGTTCCTCCAGTTTGCCGTGACTGGCCAGTAATGCTGTGTGCCACTGTGTCCTGCCCACTCCAGCATCGTCATTGTGTGAGAGCTGAGACTCTGCTGCTAGGCTTACACTGGGCAGGGCCACCCCAGAAGAAAAGCAGGGTGCCCAACTCAGACAGCATCACTACTCCCCAGCAGGGGAGAGTGGTCTTTGATGGAAGGTTGGGGTTGATGGAGAGGGAGAAGGGGCGTGGGCACTGAGTAGGCACCTAGCACCCACTGCTGAGAGGGGGCGCGGACTGTGCATCTCACTGTTAGGGGATGCGTTTCCTATCAACAGCAGGTGCCTGTCTCAGCAATGATTCTGCATGGAGTGGGAGTGTGTCAGGAGGGCCATATATCTACACTAGGACAACTCCAAGGGACTCTGGAACTGAGAGCTTCCGTGTCCCATGGGCTCTCTGCTGTGAGGCTGCTCCGATTGTGTCGGGGCTGTTGCTCAGGCTTCCTGCTCCCCAGCGGGAAGCCAGAGTGTCAGTCCTTGTCTGCCTCATGTGTGCACACATGGCTGTTTTCCATATAATTGCTTGAAAAAACTTAAATGAGTCTGTACTTGGATCTTGATCAGAACAGAAACAGTGTTGCCCCTGGCTTTTTCTGCATTGATTCTACTCACCTGGGGTCATTTTGAGCCCCTGGGCTGGCGGGGGTGTCACAAAATTCCTCGCTGCTCTCATGTTCTCTGTGTGGAAGACTTTCCTGGTCTTTATTGCCCGTTGTCAGTGGAACTTTGAACATAGCTTTGGTTGGTTCATACCCACCATTTAACTTTGTTGTGAATTGGCAGAGGGCCTCTGATGATACAGAGGTGTTTTGGCTCTTGATTTACTTAATGGTTTGGTCCAGGGTCTAAGACATGAGCTGCCAGGCTCTGGTTTTACTCCCCATCAAAAGCTTGGTTGGGCTAGGCCTGCCAAGTGCCATGCTGGGCCTGGTTGGTCAGGGCTGAAGTCAGGCCATCAGCTTCAGCCCTTCAACCAGCTGCACTCAGCGTTCACTGCTTGTTTTCATGTCTAACAGCAGCAGTTGCTTTCCTTGTCCCTTTACTACCTTCTTTACTGGCTGAGAAGTTCCCCAAGGACAGGGTCTCACCTGGCATTTCCTTTCATCTTCCTGGTGGGCCAGCCCAGTGAGTCGCTCTCAGTTCAGGGCTGGTTATCATGGCCATGGCCAGAGTGGACTGCAGCTACTGTTCACAGCAGTAGGAACCCAGTGACTTATGGGTCCTGTGAAGAGTGGGTGACCAGCCTGTGCTCTCCAGACTGAGGAGCTATCTGGCCTGTTTGTTGGTTTATTGATTGTGTTTCTGGTAATGGCTTAAAAGGTCAAGAGAAGAAATGTAAAAAGAGGAAGCACATAAAATGTGTACAGTTACATACAGAAGGCAGAAAAGTGAGATGGATTTGGGTTTTCTGATCAGAGTTTCAGTGAAGAGGGGTGGGGTTGGAGCCGTAACTTGGGCACCCAGCTGGGGAGGCGCTCTGACGTCAGTAGGGTGGAGTGCATATGCGGTAACACAGGTGGTGGGTGTCTCAGGACACTGGTCTTGTTAATGGTGAGCCCGTTTGATTTGACCGCCAGCAAATTCTCTTCATTGTTAAATTTTTAGGTCTTTTGTGATAGAAGGTAGCTCCTTTTTAAAGTGTGGCTCTCCCTGTAGCCTTACCCCTCTTTTTTCTACTGCTGTGCTTGTAGTTACTGTAAGTGTGGGGCACGAAGCTTAGGGAGAGAGCATGGCCCTGCTGCCATCCCCTTGTCACCTTCCAGATGTGTGACTTGTCCAACTAGGTGAATTCCTTTAACAGAACAGATGATCCCAAAGTAGGTGACTGGAGATGTTTTAAGACAAGCCTTTAGTGTGCAGCTGTGGAGTTCTCAAGACCAGGGTTTACAGATCTTTTCACTCACCTTGCTGGCTGGACGAGGAGAACGTTAAGTTTGGTAGTTTAACTTAAGGGCCCCTCGCTTGATGACTTTTCCACTAGGCTGTGTCTGGTGGGGTCAGCCTTCTCCAAGTTGTGGGACTGGGAAAGCTGCTACTACACCTCTTCTGTAAAATGGGGAGGATGAAGGAAGGACCTGCCAGGGGAGATTGTCATGGAGGTTCCATGCAATAACTTAACCTGCAGGTGGCTCGACTGGGTCAGTGCCTGCCCACAGCAGGTGCTCGGTGAGTTAAAGCTCCTCCTGTGCTGGTTCTCCGTTTACTGATCTGCTACGTGTTGGT